CTCTGGAAAGGGGACGATCGCCTAAACGGTTTTAACACCTTGTGTGCAAAACGGTCCGTTACATCTATATTTTGGTCCTGAGTGCACTAAACTTGTGCTAGGATTAAACAAACACTCCAAGCACCATAACCTCTACAGTCTGATGTAGTTGGTATGGTGCCAGGACTGCCCTGGCATCATCCCAAGGTAAGCAAGTCAAACTATCTTAGAATGGGTTGACAAGTTATCTGGGTACCAACAGGATCCAGCATTCACAAATCCTGCTTCCGGTATATGCAGAATATGTTTAGCTATACAAAGCTAAACAGGGCTATGCCCTTTAGCAAAGAGCGTTAGCTCTGCAGTCTAGGCCAATGAGAACAGTGCTGGGTCGACTGTGCTTTATTCCATAGAGACAACAGAGGGGTGCAGGCACCTGTGGAGGCCACAGATGGGTTTTCAAGCAGTATACTAAAACTGTTTGACTACTCACAGTAGGCGGTAGCAGATATGCTGTTTGAAGTGTTCCTATAATGTGAAACTTTACAACTCACTTGACTTTTACTATACCTGAGGTCTCTCCCCGTCAGGAGCACACCTTTTACTATGCTTGAATTTAACTCTGGGTTAAAAGTACTCTGCATTAGTCTAGAATAGATCTATGCTTCCTAGCCGCCCAGCTTTAAGCTTAAAACCAAAGTGACCACAAATGAAAATCTTAATTTATTGTTTTACTAAATGACTGAAGTTTCACACAAACTATTTTACATAAAGGAGGTCGAATGAAGCCAGCCAACGTTTCATATGCCAAATATGAGTTACAATAGTGATCAGTCTTTATAAAGTCGTCTGATAACTTAGTCACAAATCCCACACGAAGCAATGACCACAGCATTCCACTAGTTGAATTTAAAAAAAAAAAAAAAAGAAGGAGGAGTTGGCATATAATTATTATAAATACAGACTAGAAAAATCAGTCAACAACATTCTGTAGCATCGTAAAATTATATAACTAGTACAGTTATATGTAGAAACATCTACTCCCCGTATCACATTATCCATAAAAAGCAAAACAAAATAACATTCATTATAAAGAGTATCTCTCCAATAAGTAAGTTTAGTTGTTTTTTTGTGTTTATTATTTCCAAAATGAATCTACGATCACTGTCCTCGTGAAACATCCCATTATAAATCTATATCTCAGTGTTCTAATTTCGGTGTTCTAACACATCAAATGTTCTAAATTTAAACATTTGAACCCAAGTTTAGTATTTCTGCTCACATTCCTTGCAAGATAACTCTGATAACATCATAGAAGAAAACCCAATAAAAAGACTACAATAACCTACAAATCTGCACACACACACACACACACTATATATATATATATATATATATATATATATATATATATCCTAACAAAGTGATAGCAACCTCTTTATAGTAACATCCCAACCTATGTCATATACAGGAAGTTCTCCAAGATTATTACCTGTATGCAGGCAATGCATGGGATACATGGACTATTACTACATATA